ATCCAAAAAAAAAAAAAACAATTACCAAATCAAGACGTAATTATAGGCTTTAATAGATGGAGACACTAGCAATTAGGGACATCGTAACGAAACGAACAAGCACAGCCAAATTTCTTCTTATAAATATAACTTACTTCGCTGTTCCAGTCAGTCAATAATTAGTGTAAGAAATGAGTTAACGACTTATTTACCGCTTAAACTAAAAAATATGAATATGAGATGAACTTGGTTTACATACGGGACTTTATCCAGCTTGGACACTAAACGGTCATATTAAGTTGACAATCTCTGTCGTAATTCGAAACGTTTAACTAGAACTTAACCCAGTATTTGAATAGTGTAGCTTTTTTTTAATCTCATTTATATTACTAATTGATATATTTTGACACATAGTTAAATGTTCTGCGGGTTTACAACGCTAGAAACCGGGTTTCGATACCCGTGGTGGGCAGAGCACAGATAGCCCATTGTGTAGCTTTGTGCTTAACTTCAAACAAATTAAATGTTTGTAAAGTATAATAAGGGGTTAATATTTTGTATAGGACTTTATTGTAATAATCTAGAGTTTATGTTCACTAAACTGTAATTTAATATTTTAAGATCAATCCAGGGGAGTTGGAGGGTGATCCATCCTGGAAATTAATAAATAAGTTGAAATGAAACGATTACTCGAGGGGACCATCTGTAACTTGCTTTAAAAATGAAAATAAAACAGATTAGGAATCTGTACTACCCGTCAGTTGTTTTAGGTGACTGTAGAAATAGACCAATCATATCGCTCTAGTTTCAGCTAACTGTATCCATTTATCACACGTTATTACTCTTGTACAACTCATTATATCATACACAGCCTGCATTCCGCAATAGTAACGAGCATCTTACTTTGTTTTATACATTTTTATTTTTATTTTGAATTTAATGATGGTCTCTAATGAAGTATTTACTATTATTTTTTGACAGAGCTTAGGAAATTTTCCAATTCGTGCTGTACCCGTGATAGACAGACAAGGAACAGCCAATCCGGTCATCCCAGACGATCCTCTTGGCCTCCTCCAGCGGGGGAACTTTATAAGAGTACCGTTGGTTATTGGTATCAATAGGGACGAAGGTGCCTTTTTTTATCCACGTAAGAAAATGGCTAAGAATTTTTATTTTTTGTTAAGTAAATTATTTTAGGTACGGTAGCTGAAGAAATGACAAAAATTTTGATGTTATAAAAATTGTAAATAATATATTAACAACAGAATGGTATTGCTTTGAATACTTTAAATTCAAACGTCTGAAATCGAAACAATGGTTGTATTTCTAGCCCAACGCTAAACAATGGGCTATCTACGCTCTGTTCACTGCGGGAAATTAAACCCCGTATTCTTTTTTATTTTTATTTTTTTTGCATTGAAAATCCGGAACTTATCGCTGACCTACGGAAATACCACTTGAAACTATAAAAATACATTTAGGTTTGACTATGTTATGTAGTTAAATTAATAAAGTTTTTGTTGTTGTTTTTTTGTATCCAACAGTGCTGAAAAACGGATACGCGGAAAACTCCCGTCGAAATACGGGTTACCTCCGAGACATCCTCATTCCCAGATTTCTACAATCGACCTCTGACCTTGCGACAAATTCTGCTGTAGTCGAGGCTATTATGTTTGCTTACTTCGTGGGAGTTGATACTGCCAACCTAACTGAAATTCTTAAGCCTTTTATTAACGTAAGTAATTTCACTATAAGTTGTGATCAACACCGTTCAATAAACGGGTGTTAGTTACCCGATAAAATCAACGTAAAACAACTTAAAGTTATGACAGTTTGTTCTAACCATCATATGCTAGTTTTGATGGTCAAAATAATATACTGTAAACGTTTGTTGTTGTTGTTATTCTTAAAAACAACACCACATAGATTAAATTAAAAGTCGAACACAGCACAGAAGCGATTCGTTTCAATCACGTGCTATCCCTGAAAGGTTCAAACTGGAACTCAACATATAAAATCACAACAGTGTAATGTAACAAAAAATGTTACATCACAATACAACAATGTGTTTAAATAAACAACATTTTTATTCACCACTTGCATTGTTAGAAAACTCAAAATACTTGTGTGCCTATATTGTTTCAACAGTCAGTTGTGTTAATAGTTCACAGAGGTCTCTCTGTCTTTGAGAGAAGACAACTTGTTTTATTGTAAAATAACAAGTCTTTGTGCTAATTTACGATACAACTTTTTAAGAGCAGGAATTGTCAACAAACATTACGTTACAGTGTTGAAACAGATCAATAAAAAGACATCTCACATTACTCAAATTGTGTCATTTTGTTCATTTGTTGTGAATCTGAATCTACATCCAGTTTAGCCCTTAATTCACCTAAGGATCATAACTGAATCATACTGAACAAAACGTAATTTGATGAATTAGGGGCTAAATTGAACGTAACTTTAGTTTTACAGCAAATGAATAAGAAATAGTACCAAGTTCCTTTAGTTTTCTATCGCCTACTCTTTGAGCTAAAGCCGAATTTTGACTTTTTTTTTTTTCACTCAAGTGTTTTTGGATGGATTTCTCGTATTTGTGTCCGTTAAATCAAGCCAAGACACTTACACCGTGATTATTATTGTTTAACTAGACCTTTAGAAAAAAGCTGTTGTTATTGTTTGAAGTTAAACACAACGCTACACAATGGGCTATCTAGCGTAGTAAGTCCGCAGACATACCGCTGTGCTAATGGGGGTGGGGGGGGGGCATAAAAATGAAGCAATTCATATAGGGTAGTAATATGCAAATCAGGATATTGCTAAAATTGCACAAATTATCAAGTATATTACATGGGGGTTGGAGAGTACTTTAAGGTTACTTTAAGGATAACGTGTGAGAAAGGACTGGACGTAGCAGTGACACCTGGTGACTCTCTTTTTTGAGTTGAACTATGCGAAAAGAATTCTGGGAACGAGAGTGACTGGATTTCTATTTACGTTCTCACAACCAAGAAAAAAGAATACTTGCGCCAATATTTTGTATTACTGTTTTAATGAAAAAAATTTAAATTTTCTGGAAAACATCAATTGGTTCCAGAATCAAATGTGGGAGAAGCTGGACAAATAAGAAAACTTTGTAGACCTGTTCTAAAGTGACATAATGTTTAGGATAACATTTTAAATAATTGTCATTTTTAATTTTGGAGAAGAAGAATAAACATGCATATTTTATGCATAATGTTCAAACTATCTAAACAGAGTTTTTTTTTTGTTTTTTATTTTGGTTACAAAACTACAATTTCGTTACTTTTTTTTTTTTACACTTTGCATGTTGGTTTGAACAGATGACGACTGATGCCATGTATGTAGCGTGTCATGACTTGACCTCCAAAACTTACGCCCAGTTGAACATACCTACTTATATGTATGTGTTTGAACACCGTGGGGTAAACAGCATGATTGACCTCCAGCTGAATCAACAAATGCCAAAGGTGGATGCAGGTAACAAAGGACTGACATTTTCGTATGAAAAATATGTAGTAACTTCGTAGTTTTAACTTTTCAATCAAACTGTAAACTTCTACTCTTCCTTTTCAAAGCTATTATTTTTATGTAAAATGGTGTTAGCAAAATATTTATATAAGGTTAGGCTTAACGAATATTACACGTTTCCTTGAAGTCAGTTACAGCAACAGATCGGATATGAATTTGCAATTGAATACCTAAATAATTGTACCTCAAAGAAAGACTACATACATATACATCAACATAAAGACCGAAAAATAACGATACGTGAATGCATCCAATGCTCAACATTTACATGCCACATAAAAAGTAAACAATAAAAAAAAACACGCACACAGAGTTAGCGATATGGAAGTGTTGGCATATCTAAAAATTAGTACTACTGGTTTAGTTTGGTTTGAATTTCGCGCAAAGCTACACGGGGACTATCTGCGCTAACCGTCCCTAATTTAGCAGTGAAAGAATAGAGGGAATGCAGCTAGTCATCACCACCCACCGCCAACTCTTGGGCTACTCTTTTAACAACGAATAGTGGGATTAACCGTCACATTATAACGACCCCCACGGCTGAAAGGGCGAGCATGTTTGGTGGGACGGGAATTCGAACCCGTGACCCTCAGATTGTAATTTAGCTGACGTTTCTTTGTTACAATGAGAAATAAACATTCGCAGCAGCGCCACCTTTGGTGAGTAAGAAAACTAACCATTGAGCACCAGTATCTAACGAACAATTGTTCCTTTAAATTCATCTGCACCAGATACAATTACAAGATCTAGTATTTTAAGTTTTATCAAACATTTCACATCATCACTCTAATATTTATCACTAGTTAGAAAAATGATGAAACAACACTTTAACAATATGTTTGTTTGGAGCAAAGCCACAATGGGTTATCTGCTGTGTCCATTACAGTGAATCGAATGTTAGCGTTGTAAGCCGGTATACTTACCGCTGTCCTACCGGGGGACAGCTTTAACAATAAAGATGATTTTTAAATAAGTTATGAAACCACAGCTTTAACAATATGTTTGTTTGGAGCAAAGCCACAATGGGTTATCTGCTGTGTCCATTACAGTGAATCGAATGTTAGCGTTGTAAACCGGTATACTTACCGCTCTCCTACCGGGGGACAGCTTTAACAATAAAGATGATTTTTAAATAAGTTATGAAACCACACTTTAATAACAAAAATAATTGTATGAACAAGTGGTTTGAATAATATTATGGTCAAACTTATTAATTCAGTGCCAGGAGAACTAATTACTTGGATATAAGTGCTAGCACATGTCAAATATTTAAGTTAGTCACTAGAGCAGGACTTCCCAAACGTTCTTAGCACACGATTTCACATCACGATTGAGGACTCCCACCCAATGAAACAATGGCTATTGAGTACCTTAAGAGAATTGCGTATTTGTACACTTTCCTGAGACCCCAATATTGGAACTCCTGCAGTAGTGAAAAGTATTAAACACGCCGATCTGTGTATCGGAAGGTCCCAATTTCGAGTCACAATGTGTTGCTAATCATTTAGCTGTGAGTGTATTATAATCTTGGCAATCAATTCCGCTATGTTGGCGGCGTGTGTTATTGATTAGTTTCCCTTTCTCTAGTTAGCAGTTCTAAATTATAAGCGCCTATGCCTCAACATGGCTGTTTATTTCATTAACCACATAAGATGTCATTTAGGGTTAGAAGATCAAGTATTTGCAATAGAAGCCCAGTAAGTGCGTATTTTCGTTGTTCTTGTTGTTGTTGTGTTTGACTTCGATAGCCTAATAAATTGTTGAACTACTTCATCTCTGGTGCATTCTTCAGCCAAGCAAAAGAAGAACAGTACAGACCAGTATTATTAATTTTTTTTAGCCGCGGCATAGCTGCTCATAGAAAGGCTTTGGTTTGTTGTTGTTGTTGTTTTTTTAAGTACAAACTTTTAGCTCATAGTTCCGTAATCTCTTGGCCGATTTGAGATCTAATTACAATTTTGGACTCAGTACGTCAGACCCTTTCGATTCCTGTATTTGATCACGCCTAAGGTCTCATAGATTAATTTACTCTAATCCTGCCTAAAATAATTTCAAGTGCCGCGGCTATTGAGGATTCCCTCTTATTTCATTTTCTAAATGTTTGTTTCTCCAGGAACATTTAGATATATTAGATTAATGGTTCTCTAGCACTGCGACGAACCATAGGTTATCTGACGGTGTTGAATTTAGAATTGATCTGACAATAGATTAAACGGTAGTTGCCAAAATAGAAACTATTTCTTTTCAATTAAGTTATACGGTAGTTACCCAAATAGAGACTATTTCTTCTCAGCCAAATTATACGGTAGTTGCCAAAATAGAAACTATTTCTTTTCAACCAAATTATACGGTAGTTACCAAAATAGAAACTATTTCTTTTCAACTAAATTATACGGTAGTTACCAAAATAGAGACTATTTCTTCTCATCAAATTATACGGTAGTTACCAAAATAGAGACTATTTCTTCTCAACCAAATTATACGGTAGTTACCAAAATAGAAACTATTTCTTTTCAATCAAATTATACGGTAGTTACCAAAATAGGAACTATTTCTTCTCAACCAAATTATACGGTAGTTACCAAAATAGAGACAATTTCTTCTCAACTAAATTATACGGTAGTTACCAAAATAGGAACTATTTCTTCTCAACCAAATTATACGGTAGTTACCAAAATAGGAACTATTTCTTCTCAACCAAATTATACGGTAGTTACCAAAATAGGAACTATTTCTTCTCAACTAAATTATATGGTAGTTACCAAAATAGAGACAATTTCTTCTCAACTAAATTATACTGTAGTTACCAAAATAGAGACAATTTCTTTTCAACTAAGTTATACGGTAGTTACCCAAATAGAGACTATTTCTTCTCAACTAAATTATACGGTAGTTACCCAAATAGAGACTATTTCTTCTCAACTAAATTACACTGTAGTTTCGATGTTATGTGTATATTCATACGCTGTTCTTTATTTGGTGGCAAGCTGCCGTTCCTACGTCACACATTAAATACGAAAGTACATTATATTCTGAGACTTTCCATTGGAGTCATTATGAACGTAGACATCGACAAAATGTGTTTTTGAGCAACTTAAAACTATAAAACCATACAGTTTTAAGCACTATTTTGAGTTATTTACTTGAGTCATTATTAAGCCATTCAGTGTCAAACACTTTAGTCTTAGGTATTTTTTCCGAATCACTATAAAACCATACAGTTTTAAGTACTATTTTGAGTTATTTACTTGAGACATTATAAAGCTATTCAGTGACAAACACTTTAGTTTGGGTTATTTTTCCGAATCACTCTAAAGCTATATAGTTTTAAGCACTATTTTGTGAGCCAACTTAAAGCTCTACAGCGTTAAGCACTTCAGCCTCAGTTGATCTTCCCGGACTAATATAAACTTAGGTATCATTCAGTACTGCAGCTTAAATCTGTTATAAACCTAAACGTGTCGAACACTTCAGCTTAAAAATGTTCATCCGGGAAGATGAGAATGAAAGCCGCTTTGTCTGCATATTTATCATTAATCATGTTAATTCGTTTGTTTCCTACAGAGCTACACAACGGTCTAGACCCGTACTTGTATTATACACGTGTTAAAATCGATTGATATTAAACCAATAGAATGAATATAGACAGACTTATTAAAGTAAAAAAACAGAATTCACAAAAATATTGAAATATAACAACAAACAAACACGTCATTTGGATTTTGAGAATTTATTTGTTTTTAGGCATTTTGACGGAAAAGTAAACAAATATAGAATGTTTTAAAAAATTAACATCAGCTACCGGAATCTTAAACTACACATTTCTACAAAGACATTTTGCGCTTCCATTAGAATTCTTTGATCAATTTTGCATTTATAATAATTATTTCAATTCAAGCCTGTAACATGAAGAAATATGAACGATAAATCGGTTTTGTGGAAGTGGTCTTTTTTCAAGTTTTTCGTGGTTTTTCTGCAGGTGTGTCACATGGCGATGAGCTATTTTATCTTTTCGACTTACAAGTGGATGGAATCCAACCTCTTTCGCGACTGGATAGTTTGATAAGTACCCGGATGGTAACCTTGTGGACAGACTTTGCAAAATATGGGCAAGTATTTCAATTCGTGAGTGTCTGTACGTATGTTTCGAGAAATTGTAAACCCTAAAAGTTTTAAAGAAGTATTTTTTTTTAGAACTGGTAGTTCTTGGACAGTATAATTTAACAATCTAGAACGACCATTTTTGATTAATTACTCTTTATGTAAAAAGATATCACATTGAAAAGTACAACTTACAGTTTACTTCTTTTACTTTCTGGCTGTACGCAAATGATACGTTAATATTTACTTACAAAAAAAAAGGCAAATGTTTGTGGCTATTTTTAAAGACGTTGAGTTCAACAGAAAATGAAATACTTTTTCAGAGATGCACCGCATTTTGTGAATTATGAATATCCTGCAAAATGGCCTCGTCTCCAGCCAGACAATCTCACATATTACCGTATAGAACGAGATCTGAGAATATCCCGAGATTACCGCCAGAGGGAATCAGATTTATGGTTGCATCACCTTCCATCTCTTGCGGAAATTCATACGCTACCCCCAACAACAAGTCCCCTGGTGGAAGAAAAAGTGGAGCCCGTGTACCGAACTTTGGCTTGGGCTATGGTGGCTGTTGCGATAGCTCTCTTCATTCTTGTGATTGTTCTTTTGGGTTTCTTGTACAATCAAAGAAAAAGTCAAAGCTTTAAGGCCAGTCCAGAACTGGGACACTCAAGGATGTCAGGGTCCATGTCTGGTTCCACGCTGTATTGACGGCGCGCCGAGTCCACTCACTCGTGATCCATCTAGGATTCGAGTTAAATGTGCTTGAGGTTGTCTTGATTAAAAGTGTGGTAAAACAAGAGCACGCGGCTGCATCTTGCAATTCGTTCCTTCTTTAGAGATAATTTCCAGTTTTTCACTTGTATTTCGTCGTTATTTGTTAAACGATGGTACACGAAAACGAATATTACCAGCCACTGATTAGGGGAAAAAGGTAAAACAATTGAGATATTGGTCTTAAAATGGCATATCTTGTAAAACATTTGTTCAAACAAAACAGAATACTTTATTACGACATCTCGTCTCCGAGGAACGATTACGTGACAAAGAACGTTTACTCGAAACGTCGTGATAAATTATCTTATTTTATGTTGACCACTGTTCTGACAACAACAAAAACCCAACTCCGACCTTTTATTTTCTGTTTCCTTTGACGTATATTGTATGTAATTTAAAAATTCGTTCCACTGTTAACGTTGTATTATCCCGAAATTTATATAACCCTGCTCGTTGTAAAGTATATAACTTGTCTGTTTTAAACCGCGCTACATCATAGTTTCAAACATTATCAGTTTGATTAGAAATGCTGCAGAAACCATCTTTTCACGCTTTGCTGGCTACATGCAGACTATTCCACTATGTTGCCTACACACAGACTACTCCACTATGCTGCCTACACACAGACCACTCCACTCTGCTGCCTAACACACAGACTACTCTATTGTGCTGCCTACACACAGAATACTCCAGTATGATGCCTACATACAGATTACTCCACTGTGCTACCTACACAAACAGACTACTCCACTATGATGCCTACACACAGATTACTCCACTATACTGCCTACACAGTGATTACTCCACTATACTGCCTACACACAGAGACTACTCCACTATACTGCCTACACACAGACTACTCCACTATACTGCCTACACACAGATTACTCCACTATACTGCCTACACACAGATTACTCTATGTGAAAAGAACCGAAGAACATCTATATGATTATGTTACTAGAAGTTGAAATTGCAATTTGAATGCAGTTTAAACACATCTGTCATTGGCCAGTATATTTGCGATTGTTTTCTAAGTACCGTATAGTTGTTGTGTGTTTATTATATGTGTACAATTCGTTTACAGTTAAAAATGATGTCTATTAATGTCTGAATAAAACGCGTGATTTTCATCATAGTAAGTTTTCTTTTTAGAGTTATTGTTAAAATTGATTCTTTAAGGCTTAGCCTAAATGAAAAATGTGAATTTAAATCCTTGTGTTTATATAGCAGTCAGTGAAACGTTTAGATTACATACTTTAAACTAGAAAACATATTATTTCAACAGGATGTTGATGTTGAGTCTTCATCCACGTACATTGATGTCTTTTGGACGAATAAAATCCTCCAATCATTCACAGTAAAACACTCTTAAATGAATAATCGTTTGTGAAAACAGTAAAATGTAATGACTTTATTTATCATTATTCATACTGTACAATAATGAGACCACGGTAAGTTTACGGAGTTACAACGTTCAAATACGGGGTTCGATTCCTCGTGGTGGAGACAGCAGACAGTCCAACGTGACTTTGCTATAAAATAAACAGACAGACACAGTGACGACATGTAGATTGAATATTACAATCAATCCCAGCCCGAGATTTGAATTTAGTAGGAAAGACTAACAGAAACAAAAAATAAAAAAAACTAGACAAGTTGAGAAAACAAATTCATTGCATGCGTGCCTTAACTAATTATTATATTTTTTTAGCAGCGAAAGTTATTACAGTTATTTTTGTCCTTCCTTTGCTTTATAATATCATAAACTCATGTATAACAAAAACAAATACGTACAGCTGCTTGTATGTTTAAGTCTCCGTGATGATTAATTTCATTATTAAAACTAAATCTCATGAAAATTGAGGTGACAAACTCCAACATCAATAAATTTACTGGAAACTTTTTTTTTCCTTTGAAATAACAAACTCCAAGATCAAGAAACATACTGGTAATTTTTTTTTCTTTGAAATAACAAACTCCAAGATCAAGAAACATACTGGTAACTTTTTTTTTCCTTTGAAATAACAAACTCCAAGATCAAGAAACATACTGGTAACTTTCGAGGTGACAACATTAATAATCATACTGGTAACTTTAGAAATAACAAGCTCTAAGATCAAGAAACATACTGGTAACTTTTTTGGAGAGGACAAACTCCAACATCAAGAAACATTCTTTCAAGTTTTGAGATTGCAAGATCCAAACTAAGAAATATAGCGATAACTCCGAAATTAAAAATTAAAGTAGCATGTTTTGAGGTTACAGACCCCAAAATTAAAAAAATGATAACTTTCCAGGTGACAAACTCCGAAATTAAAAATTAAAGTAGCATATTTTGAGGTTACAGACCCCAAAATTAAAAAACTGATAACTTTCCAGGTGACAAACTCCGAAATTAAAAATTAAAGTAGCATGTTTTGAGGTTACAGACCCCAAAATTAAAAAACTGATAACTTTCCAGGTGATAAACTCCGAAATTAAAAATCAAAGTAGCATGTTTTGAGGTTACAGACCCCAAAATTAAAAAACTGATAACTTTCCAGGTGATAAACTCCGAAATTAAAAATCAAAGTAGCATGTTTTGAGGTTACAAACCCCAAATTAAAAAACTGATAAATTTCGAGGCGATAACTGTTAAGATAAAAAAATATTTAATAAGTTTGCGGATATAACGTAACATTAAAACATATATGAAGTTCAATATAAAAAAACTTTCAGTTAACTAACTGTAAGATCAGTTACAGATCTGACGGTCTTCTAGATGACAAACCGTGAAAACTTTGTCAGACTTTGAGTGGCTACTTTCAAGGTCGAGTGTGAATATAACTAGCACCAATGTGAAAGACAAGTCTGGACAAACTCGAAGTTGACTTGCACTAAAATCAGGAACACGTCTAACAATATTTTAATTAACCGAAAGACAAGTCTGACAAACTCGAAGTTGACTTGCACTAAAATCAGGAACACGTCTAACAATATTTTAATTAACCGAAAGACAAGTCTGACAAACTCGAAGTTGACTTGCACTAAAATCAGGAACACGTCTAACAATATTTTAATGAACCGAAAGACAAGTCTGACAAACTAGAAGTTGACTGACACTAAAATCAGGAACACGTCTAACAATATTTTAATTAACCGATACTAAGATAAGAAACAAATTGTAAAAAAATGAAGAAGAGAGAGTTAACCAACATTAATGTCAAGAACAAATTTTGAAGGTTTTCAAGTCATTGATATCTAGATCAAAGACAAAGTTAACACGCTATGAGTTCACTAAAAATAGCATCAGGAACAAACCTGACAAAATTTGTGTTGATTAACACTAAGATCAGGGACAAATCTAATAAGCTTTGTGTTGACCGATACTAATACTAGGAACAAACGTACAAAATTTTGTGTTGATTAACACTAAGATAAGAGACAAATCTGACAAGCTTTGTATTGACCGATACTAACACTAGGAACAAAGGTACCAAATTTTGTGTTGATTGACACTAAGATCAGGGACAAATCTAACATACTTTATGTTGACCGATACTAATACTAAGAACAAAGCTACCACATTTTGTGTTGATTGACACTAAGATCAGGGACAAATCTGACAAGCTTTGCGTTGACCGATACTAATACTAGATACAAAACTACCAACTTTTGTGTTGATTAACACTAAGACCAGGGACAACTCTGGCATATTTTATGTTGACCGATACTAATACTAGGAACAAAGCTACCACATTTTGTGTTAATTGACACTAAGATCAGGGACAAATCTGACAAGCTTTGTGTTGACCGATAATTAATTGACACTAAGATCAGGGACAAATCTGACAAGCTTTATGTTGACCGATACTAATACTAGATACAAAACTACCAAATTTTGTGTTGATTGACACTAAGATCAGGGACAACTTTAAGAAAATTTGAGTGGATTGACAGGGATAATACCGTAGAAGATCATACAGAGAGTCATCACTTGAAATATTCAGATTATATATTTGACAACGTGGCATGTAGATGAGAGGGATACCTAGAGAAGCAATAATTGATAATTTCAGTATAATTATCTATAATAAAGATTGTTATCCTCTCGTGGAAAGATCATTTTAATTACTTCTCCTCATAATATAGCACTTTCGCTTCTATTACACACACACACACATATATGTTCCATTTTATACGATAACAAACATATATTGTCAGACTCTCGCTACTTAACCTTCTAGAGAACGTTGTTAACTTTGTTTTCTAGTTACATCGGTATGCATGTTGAAATGCTCAAACATTTGAATGTAAGACTCCCGACCTCGAGACTTGGAATATAAGGTCAGAGCATCATCCAACTTAAATATATATATATTTGATTGTCAAGTTACTGATTTTATTTTTGCGATTACTTATATCATTAATAGGTTATTAACCATTCAAAAATATAAACCATACAAATTATCTTATATTTTTTTTATGCGTTAAAACCGTACAGATGATAATCCCAGATGTTGGTATGTCATAAAGCGATAGATAATTGTGTAATAGAATTCTGTTTAAAAATCCTAAAAAAATTGTGTTGCATGTTATATAATGCATATATTATAAAACGTATATATTATTGTTTAGGTTCTAAATAATAAAAGTTATTTGTGTGTTATTAAATATACAAATGGTCCCTATATAGTGAAAGGCCTACAGGTGATTTTATATATGTTTTAAAACACACAATATTTTGTATGTCAGAAAAGATACGGTGGTTTAGAAATCATGTAAGAGATGTTGTTGTTTTTTTTTTAAACGTCGGATAACTGGGAGTGTTAGAAGTTATCTATAAGTTAAACATCGCACTCATGATTTGCATTGTTATGAACCGTATAGCAAAAACGGCATATTCTGTTCTGAAAAATTCAAATTATTTTTCGATTTATAAAATATGATTTTGTGTTGCTGTTTTTTTTTCAAAACACGAAGATGACTTGCATTTTATTAAACGTTTAAAATGATTTAGAAAGTGGGAAACGTTAATGGTATATTATAAACTGTACGTGGATATAGAACCCT